TTTGATTAATAGTGGCTTCACTTATTAATTGTTATAAATCTTTTGATTTATTTTATTCTTTTCTTTATATTTTTACCTCTTTTTCAAATTACTTTTGTAATTTAAACCTTTGAACACACAATACCTGTAGATATTGGCATAGGCCTTAGAAACCTTTGCTAATATTTATAATTCATTCACTTTACTTAAGTTTAATCATTCCTCTTCTAATATTATATGCTTATAGTTATTTTCAGTGAAACTCACTATTCAAAATCACTGTAACAGTATTATTAATTTAAGAGAAATAGTATTTTTATATAATTATTATTATTTAGTACTTTGAAAAAGCTTTAATAGTTATTATATTTATTTTTGTATAGTTATTACTATAGAAAAATTTTAATAATTATTTATTTTATTTTGTTAATTTTCTATTAAAGTTATATCTAACTTTATTCATTTTTATTATTTGATATTTAAATATAGTTTTAATAATTTAATAATCTGATTTTTTATATAAATATAGTTATTTGTCATGTTTCAAAAATACTATTATAAGCAATAATCCTAGAAATAATAACAATATTTAATTTGAAAAAAATTAATAAAAATTTGATTTCAAATTATTTTCTATATTATATTTAACAAAAACTGAAATAACTAAATATTTAGAATTAATTTTGTACTGAATCTGATAAATATTTAATAATAATATTAATATTAATTTTTAACTAGGCTTATTTTAGATACAATATATTTTGAAATAATAATATTTAATCTTGAAAAGATCTGAAATAAGTCCAATAAAAAATTATTATTCAGTTTATTCCAGGTTTTTCTTAGATTAAATATTATTATTTAGAAAATATTTCAAAAGATTTAATCTGAGATAAGTCTAATAAAAGCTGGCTGAAAATCAGTATTAAGATTTTTGATATTTATCAGATTAATTTTCCAAAAGATTTCCTAAATCCTGCTTGAAGTGATCATAAAAATTTCCAGAAAAAGAATCCTGTATTTTTTTTCACAGGGATAGTTAGTAAAACTTAGTTTATATACAATGGTAAGTAAAATTATTTGAGATTTTATTTTATTATATGTTTATTGTAATTCAATGCAGAATTATATATATATATATTGAAATATAAGAACCAAATTCGCTTAAGGTCATAAAGAAATATTAAAATTAATCAAAAAAATTTTCAGTTTGTTCAAAAAATTATTATCTTAGATATATAAATTTCTATTTAATTTCACAATATTTTGGACACCCTTTGTACTAGGATAGTAGATTTTAATAGTATAGTTTTTGTAATATTCGAAACTGTAGAACTTATAAACGAAAAGAATTAAGACATACTATTTTTTGAAGTTATATGAATTCTAAGAATTTCTAATTTTTTTATGAACATGTTATAAACATTAACTCGTCTATCGCTATACCGATACGTCTATAAATAAATTCACTAAGTAATTGTTTTATACTAAACTAAAAGGTAATCAATAAGAATATATATTTTCGAAATCAAATGGCTCAAGTAGTTCATGGGCTTTTTTGAACCATTTTAATTCCATACCGAGATCTTTGGAACTCCAATCCATATTGATAACATTCTGCTAATTATCTCACACGCCCTTTCTCATTTCTATTTCCTTGAAAGTAGCATTTGCAAGAAAATATTGAGCATATGGAGTACCGATATTTTTGATTCAACTAATATTTCTGATTCAACTAATTTCTGAAAACACTAAAATGCTTTCTTCAAATCTCTATTAGTTCCCTTGCTACAATAATAAAATTTACCAAGATTGAAAATACTTCAGCATTTTCGCACTTGCTGATTACAAATAAATCATTTCTTTGAGTTCCCACACATTTATAACGATAGCCAAGACTACATTGTTTTAAAGCATTTCCACCCTCCTCTGATTTCAATACCACTCAGATACTCTGTGCTGACTTTAAATGCTTTTTTATTGTGTTTTTAGTTCTTATCATAGGTAAAAATGGTTGGTACGCTAGTGATTTTTTTTGGTGAACCTCTAGAAGAATTCCAAATTTCATAGTAGTTTCCTAGATGATTTCTAATAATTCATTGAATTTAAAGGGAAACAATAGAACATCGATAAAATCACTAGCAAATTTGGAATTCCTCTATTCAAAAAAAATATCTTATCTAACTGTGTATATCATTTCGATAATAATGATAAAGCTTACATTTTGCTTTTTTATCTTTTTGAGTTAATAACAATAACCAAAATTACATTGTCCTTTAACATTCTCACCCTTTATTGATCTCAAATACAACTGAAATGCTTTTTCTCATTTTTGGTTTTCTATATCATTTTAATAATACCAGCCAACCAAAATTGTGTTGACGCATCATCATTTTCTTTAGCCAGATTTTGTAGTTACGAACATTTATTAGCTTGATTGATTATGTTTCCATGCAAAGCTTAAAGAATTTCATATTGCATGTATTATCTAATCTTTCCCGAATTACTTGTTTGAATAAATAAATTCAATAATTCATTTGAATTTTTCAAATTAGTGAGTTTGATTTCACTCATTGTTATAGAATTTCATAGCAAACTTTTATCGTTATGTTGTGCCCTAAATATCCAATTGATATAAATATGCAAATCGATTTTTTTGGCATGTTTTGCTTAACATTAAATAAATTTAAACCAAGAGATATAAAAAAAGAGAATTGAAGCTGAAAGAATGTTTAAAATTTATATTTATAGCTGAATACGTAGTTTCGCATGCATCTTAGCACCCAGGTTTTATTTTAAAGAATATGCAAACATTTAAATAATACACTATATGCACAACTAACGTCTACAAAGAACTTTTTGAAGTTCGGATAAGTAAATCTTGGCACAGTTGTAATTCTTCAATCTTTACTTGAATTCATAATTTCTCGCATCTTTCCAACTACGAGACGACATGATTAATTAATTAATGTTAGAAAAATAATGATTATATTAGCCATACGAATTTGTAAAATTACGTATATGGTGCATACCATCTAAAGTCATCAAACGTTTGTATTTTATAAAATGTTTTAACTTCTCAACTAAGAAGTAAATTCAAAATTTAATCCGTAAATATGGTAGAATAAGCCTTTTTCTACCATATTTACGGATTAAATTTTGAATTTACTTCTTAGTTGAAAAGTTAAAACATTTTATAAAATACAAACGTTTGATGACTTTAGATGGTATGCACCATATCGATATGCTATTCAAAAATAAACTTCTGCGCAGGACATTACAATTATCCATATCGGCGAATTTTTGAAATTGGCTCATTGAATGATGATTTGTTGCACAGATTTTGTTTCTAAGTACGTACATCATTTAGTAGATCACATGAGGTCACTGTCCAAATGATTCCAATGACAAATGACCAATGACTGATGACCTAACTGGTCATTCCAAGCCTCACAATCTTCTTTATCCAATAAAATTAAAATTAAACTTTGTGACGTCATTATAAAAATGACTCACTGAAACTCTATTGGTTGATTAATAAATCACATGACAAATGACCTAAATGATCTAACGATTAATGACCTAGGTCATTTCAATGTCATTTGAGGTCATTTACCATCACTGGTTTAACGTAATGTATTGCCTCGTGAAACATACTTGGGAAATGACCGAATCAAGATCAGTAAATACGTGATCTATATACATGTACATGTATATATTGTATTTTACAATGACTCCCGGGTACGAATCAACATTTTTGTAGGTATTCTAACGCTATGCGGTAATTACTTTAACGGTAGATATTGCATGACGAGTCAAAATACTTTTTATTCACCATAACATCTCTTCCATATTCATCTAAAAGTTTTTCTTTAAATTTGATCTCGAATAATTTGGATGATTTGTAGGTAGAAAATTGGCAAATATTATAGGACGAGTCCAATTTTTAAAAGTACGTGAAGATGTTTAGTCGTTTCAGGAATCTTGGGATAGCTGCAGATTTATCGTTATGATTTTTATGAATGTTATTCTGCTTTTAGCCCTGAAAATCTGATAATTTCGATAGCAATCGCATAAACTGTTATCTGATTACGATTGTAATTATAATAATCTAACTCAAAAAATAACTAACGCTAACGCTGACGCTAATAAATTTAAGTCGTCATTGTTGTACGTACGCCAATTTGCATACATAGTAACGGACGGTTTAATCGAAAAGGTTTCTATTGTACATGTACATGTATTTACTGTACTGTTACGTACTATGTACATGTATCACCGTTACTATCATCTTTCTATTTAAAGATAGATTTGCAATAACGATAATTTAACGTTAAATTATTGCAAATAAAGTTTCGCAAGAGAAATAGTTATCAGTTAGTGTCGCTTCCCGCAGACAGACATTATCATTTCAAGAAGAAAACGAGGAGCACGAGGTGTACCGTTAAGTTTTTTTTAGATACGCGAAGAGAGCCTTTCATCACTTTATTCTTTTTACATGTACTTTACTTAAAAGAATCTAGTCAAAAATAAATTCTCTTAAATGCGTGTAGGAAATGACTTCTGAAACAAATTCCAATAATGATTTAAATGAAGTTATAATTAAACAATCAGTTGAACGAACATTCAGTCAAATAAGCAAGTTTGACAGTGTAAAAAATGGTAAAGTTATCAAGATAGAAATAAGTCAAGACGGAAAAAGTGTTATTACTCTGAAAAAAGAAAAAGGTAGCTTAATCATTTAAAATATGTGCGTAATTCTTTTAAGACGTTTCAAATTGTTAATTTATCGATATTTTTTTTAAAATTACCCTAAAGATTCTTACACAAGATACAATTCAAAAATATACGTCGGATATCACAGAATAGAAACAAAAACTGACCGTAACAGCCAAACGAATGCATCTGACAATCTTAGCAAATTCGATAATGATGTAGCTCATGACGACCTCGGCTTTTTTGAAACAAACACGAACCTTAACTGGTCGGTTGCGGTCATTGATACTTCTGAAGATATTTGTTGGATCGCATTTTCTTTTTATGATTTTTCAAATCTCGAAAATAAATCGGACAGCGTATTAGGGAATTACCTGCTTAATCATCGTTATCATTCGTTTTCTGAAAAAAGTGTATTTTTTCTTGTATATCAACACTTGAGAAAAAGTGTTCAACCGATCCATGTTGCAGGAACCGGAAATGGCATTATCAAATTTTTAAACGACAAAGAACTTATCATTTTAAGACGAAACAACTTTCGGATAATACGATACAATAGTAAATTTCATTTAATCACGGGAAGCACGGGAATATACAATTTTTTCTGGTCAATCAAAGCTTTTTGGGACGTCACTAATACTGGTAACATTATGAGAAAAAAGAGAATAGATACTGATTATGCTTATCCACTTCCAATGAACAAGTTCGCAAAAAACTCGAAATACACCAAAGACATAGTAGAACACAAATTAACCAATTCTGTAAAGGGTAATTATCTATACTCGATCAGTCGGCATAGGAAAATCGAACTTTGGAAAATTGAACGTTATAATCTTTCAACAGGTCAACTTGATAAGCTATTCAATATCAATCAAATTCTAGCGAAGGTTCAAAAAAAGGAATACATTCAAAACGATGACAAAAATAAAGAAATTTTGCCGGTATTCGCCGTGTCTATTGATAAAGAACAACAATATTTAGCAGCATCACTTGGCTTCAACTCTTTTACTATTTATTTTATGCTAAACTCTATCGAATTGGTGACATGTGAATTACCTGACGACAATGCAAAAATCAAGTTTATGGCATTTATCGCGAGTAATACAAAGCTTTTGATCGTCTTTGAGAAACCATCGATCGAGGATCAAAGTCTACAAGGCCAAGACATTGAAAAAGGAATTTTGATTTGGAATATGCCAGGAACTTTAAAAGTTGAAGAGAATTGGGAAACTGCAGAATTAAGAAGAATTGCGAATCATCATCACTTGGAATTAACGGACATAGAAGAACCGGAAAATGTATCAATCAAAAGTTATCACATGTATAAGTTAGAGTATAAAGGAGAATACAAAGATGAGTATAAGGTAAAGGATCTTAAATTTCTCGTAAGGGAGGATGGTATCTTCTATACAAACTATAAAAAGGATGGTTTGATCCAACTTTTTTATCAAAACCCTGATCGTGATGAAAATCTTGATGGTAATCAACAAAAAGACGAGCAAAATCGTGTATATGCTAATAATTATAATAAAGGTTGGAAACTTGAAGACTGCATTGAAAAAGAAATCATAATTGACGGCAAGGAAATCATAATCGGCGACAATGAAAAGGAAATCATAATCTGTGGCAAGGAAAAGGAATTCACAATCGGCGGTAATAAAATAATCGACAGCAATGACGGTAAAAAGAAAATCACAATCAACGGCAAAGAAAAGAAAATTATAATCGACAAAATAAGAATAAAAATCATAGTAGGAAATAAAATAGTGAGGATATTAAAAAGACATGAAGAAGAATACTTTCTTATTAATATTTGGTCAATTCCAACAGACTTTTCCAAATATCTTACCGATCCAATTATATCCAAGATTGAATTTGTCGAGAAAAATCAATCAGTAAAAGTAACATTAAAATCATGTGATGAAAAAAACAATCTTAAATTTAGTCACAACCTCGCGATTCAACCACAAGCTACATCTATAGTAGGAATATGCAGCATATTAAGCCTAATGATGAATCAAAAAGAAGAGTATAAAAAGACTCGCGAGTCTCAAAAAGTAAGAGGAAACTTTATTCAAAAATTTTTCGGAGCAGAAACAAACCAACGGGAAGAATATGAATGGGAAGAATGTGAAAAATTAATCCGTTCCATAGGGAAAATAGCGCCCAATATCATCAAAGAAGCAATCAGAGATCCCGATAATTTTAGAATCTTAGACGCTCGTTTTCGTATCGTAGCAACGATGATTAAAGCGAATTTTCAAAACCTAGTCATTGATTATATTTTAAATGAACCTGAAGATCGTTTACATATTCCTCAGCAAACTGTTCAAGACAAACCAAAAGAACCGTCATTCAATACAATTTTCACTTTACCAAAATCTCCGGTTGATCATGAACATTTTACTGCTTTATCAATTGCAATAAATCAAAATCAATATGAAACTATAGAGAAACTTCTCGATTATTATTCTACTTTAGCTAGAGATAATTCGAGTTGGATGGCAACTGTCACTCAAGTTTTGCCAGAATTAATGACAAAATTTCCAAGTAAGAGTACATGCATCTTTTTCTATATATAATTATTAATTGACAAAAATATATATATATATATATATTTTTTAGAAAACTTCATGCAATTAATGGATAAAGAAGTTTTTTATTCAAAAGAAATTCCTCTTGATAAATCATGGGAGTTTTATCGACCAAATAATGATCTGGATGAGATACGCTCTTTCTATGTCGAATTTAACCTTTTTGATACTTATCGTCAACAAGAGTACGAAAACAAAAAGAACAATATGTCTAGATATCGAAAGACGAATATGAAATATTTTCAAGTTCCTCTTCCAGGATTTATAAGTTGCTCAGCTTCTACGGAAAAAATGACTAATGCAGCAACGATCTGTGACTTCTTTCTAGCTTTTTTCTTACTCGAGCGAAATCATGACGAAAGCCCATTCATTAGGCTCATAGGTCATGATAAGACCGGAGAAATTTACGATAACCCATCAATAGAAGCAGTCGTCGATTTTCAATGTCGTGATACCGTCGTATACTGTTGGTTTCGTGCAGAATTAATACTATATTGTTGGTACGCAATTGGATTCATCTGGATAAGCTACGCATATTTGAATAGAATTGTGTATAACGATAATCAACCATATATATATACACTTATTGGCTTGTTTATCGGAGCTTATACTTTATTAATTACAACATTAAAGAGAGGACGTTATTTAGCTAACAAGCAGCTATTTGTAAAAATTTTTTATGCTTTTGAGCTTGCTAGTTTAGCTCTACAACTAATTGGTTATGGAATGATAGTATATAATGACCTACGACTGGAATCTGATACTCCTTATTGTCAAAAACATGGTTCTCAGTGTAAAATGCAAATTATCTTTTATTCACTAGCTAGTTTAATAGTTTGGATTGGATTGGTAGGTAACTTAACTACTTGGTTGCTAGATTTTAAATGATTGAATTTACTTACATGAAATTATTTTTTTTAAGTTTTTCAAAATGCGATTTTTACCATGTAAGCATTAATTAATTTATTTATGATTTATCTTTGAGATTACATTATAACCATGCATGCTAATGATTATATTAGTGGTTGGAAAATACATTTTCATTATCATCAATGTTATTATAAATATCTTTGGATTTCTCCTTTCTCAGGTGTTTCTTCTTGTAGGCTTCGCAATTTCTATGTAAGTATCATGTTAATCTTCGCCATCTACTTGCAAAGCTTAAAGTAAAAGTACTAATATGTTTTACTTTTGCCTTTAGGTTATTGCTTTTACGATTTGCTCCAGGGATCGGTATTTTACCCATAGTCTCTACATTCAACGGTTCTTTCATAGCAGAGAATTCTGACAACGAAACTGCACAAATTCTCGAAAACAACGTAACTTACCCCAACTTCACTATCAAACAAAACTTGAATTGGGCTGATCGATCAGACAATTACTATTATTTTTGGGATAAATCAGTGGAAGCCGTATACTTTTGGATAAGTGGTCGCTGGGATCAGATCACAAATTGGAATTTTTGGCCAGTTGATGTGGTCACTGTGCTCGCTAGTATATTTTTAGTTACTCTTATGCAGAATTTATTGATTGGTTTGATGGGGTAACTTAGCTTTTTATCGTTGTCGTTATCATTATGTCTAATAACAAGAATTTGCGCGTTAATCGTACCTTGAACCGTTTAGAGGTGTACTTGGTAAATCGACTTTAGACCATCGTGCGATAATTCAGATGCGTGCATTTCTATTGATTGACTATCGTTATGTTTGGCAACGAAAAAGCGTTTATTACGCGATTCCAACAGAAAAATGGAAAAAAATA